AGTTAGAAAGTTTGTGCCGTTTGATCATGCGATCAGTAAACCGAAATAAGCATTCAACGTTGAAACATGCTTTAAAATGTGTTGTAGTGAGTGTTTAAATATCACAGAACAAGACTCAGACGTTCTGCTGTAATATCCTAGGCTTAAAACTTCAGTCTTGTTCACATCAGTAGAACTTCTATGGAAGTAAAGGGAGTAAAAAGTAGAAAAACATCCTACCTTTCGTTGACATTTTGTTTATTTTAAACAAGCTAATTCAGGATTGAGGAATTTAACTCGTGGACTCCAAAATGATTAAAAAAAGCAAGCGCCTATTTTCCCTGATATTAAGATGACTCCTTTTCTTTTATTGATATTAACTGTCATTTTCCCTGTACTTTCTGTCCCTTAAGGTAGCTCCTGTAGTCCTCTTGTTGTTGGCAAGGATGTTATTATAAAGGAGAGCTGCAAGCAAGGACCGAGCCCTTCTGGGACTGTGTGTGACCTGTCCTGTCCACCAGGCTTCAAACTTGTTGGTCCGCCATTCAAACAATGTGGAAATGCTGGGGTCTGGACGCCTTCCAGTGGACCAATCAGTTGTCAAGGTAATGATGTTGGAGAAGTCAAGACTTCTGTTAAGACCTGTACTTGTAGATCGTTGTAGGTTATGACTATTGTTTAATTTCTCCCTACAAGATCACTACATTTCTAGCAGACAGATGTTGAGAATATAGAAATCATTAATCAGTGAAGGGGACGATAAACGGTGCTAACAAATTGTGAAAACTACAACTAAGAGGGTTGTATCGCATTTTGTTCAGAAGGTTAAAGTTTCTTTTTAATTCTGTCCTCTACTAATTCTTTGAAATTATTTGGAAGGTGATAACATGACTGGGAAAACTTTTTGTAGATGCCACCAAATATTCGATTACAAACATAAAACGAATGCCAATCAGGATGCAGGACTAACCTTGAAAATTACAGACTTTTTGTCTCTCCATTCAAATGGACGCTTTTATCCTTAAAAGTGGTTTTCAACTGGGTCACTTAAGACCAAAACTAAAGCAATCGCTCTGGCCAATCACAAAGAACACAGACAGTCCAAAGAAGCAATCAAAACTCGAAGTAAATACATGCAGCTGACGCGAACAGCGGGAAAACGTGTGCAAGCGCGTCACGATTGGTTGATTGGCTGAAAAAGTGGCGCGAGTTTTTTCAGCCAATCGTGCACCGTGGTAATGAAAAACAAATTACTTTTCGACACTCAAGTGAAAACAGCTCTAACCTACCCTTTCTCCTCAGATATTGATGAGTGCAAAAACAATAAAGGAGGCTGCAGTCATGAATGTGTGAATGTCGATGGTGGCTTTAACTGCACTTGTCCTGAGCCTCTGAAGCTGTCTGATGATAATCGTAATTGTAGAGGTGAGTAAAATACAAAATAAATCAAATATTATGGAATTCATCCTAAGTAATCAAGAAAATCATACACTTATTTCTTAGTTAAATTCGAGAAAGGGCAATTTAAAGTAGCTTACATTTTCAAAGGGTTTAAAACAACAACAACAATTTTATTTGTACTCAGCTAGAAATTAGAAATAAGATGAACAAAAATAAGTTAAAATAAAAAGAGTACATGGTTGCCCGAAATAACCTTAATGGGCTAACAAGACTGGGCAGCCATCCTTAGTGATTTAAAGTGATTATTTATTTGGGTCAAATAAGAAGAGAAATTAAGAAAAAGACATGCAAGAGCACACACACAAAAAAGACTAATTATACATACAGATTTAGTGAAAAATAGTTGGATAATACAGTGTACTAGTTACATACAGAGTTACAGATATTCAATATGTACTAATAACTTGCAATGATGTTTGATTTGATCTTTTTCCTAAAATGTTTAAGTGGCAGTATCATCACTAGTATCATTCAAGATCTTTGCACGTTGATATCTAATGTTAAAGATTCCATAGTTTGTTCTGGTTTTTGGAAGAGCATAAGTCATTCTAGATGAAAGCCTTGTTTTGTAGTTATGGGTATTTTTTTACCGAAGTGAAAAAAAACCTCAAAATTTGTAGAAAGAAGATGATTTTGAAATTTGTACATGAAAACAGCATTGTGAAAAGTAACTGTATCCAATAATTTGAGAACATTTAATTGTTTAAAGGTGGACTAGAAAAGTGGACGATAAAGTTAGCCAAACACAAAATGACATCATTCAAGGACAGAAAATTTTTTTAAGTGGTGAAAATGTCTCTCCCTTAAAGTGAAGATTATGTACCGCCTCTGAACAACTTTCTTAAACTGAGCTTGTTACAACAAAAAATCTCATTAAATATGACACCAAATTTCAACACACAACACTTGTTTTTCAGCTCCTGGCCTACTCCTGAACTGCAGCACGCACGCTATTGAAGTAACTGTCCCTAAAACAGCTCTGCGTGACTTACAAGGAGACTTCCTGCGTCTGATGGATCCCACTTGTCCCGTCATCGAGACACCAACCCACTACATCTTCAGAACTGCTTTGGACAAATGTCAGACTAAGCGACGCAGCACGCCGAACTTTATCGTCTACAGCAACAGAATAGTGGAAAGAAACGTTGCACCTGGGAGTATCATCACTCGGGTCGGGGACGACGAGTTCGATATACCATTCTGCTGTTACTACCTGAACAACGGGATCACTTCTGCCGTAGGTATAAAACCGGAAGTGAAGCAGCTCTACATTGAAGAGGATGGGTAAGGATAATCATCTTTCTTTCTTTGTTCTTGCTCTTTTTTATATTTTCTTCTCCTTTTGGAAATACTCTATTTGTGGAGAAATCCTAACTATTCCACTCCTTACCTTTTTGTGCCAAGAAGAGCAATGGCAATGAAACGAAACATGACAAAACTTTCTGTATGACCTTATATACTGAAAACAAAAATCTTCTGCCAAGAACTTATTGTTGTTAAGTCTGATTTGAAAAGCAGTAAGTAAGTATGAAACATCTGTGGCTTTTGACAGAATTAAGCAGAATCAGATCGCGGCAGTTACAAAGCCACGATAAGCGATTATAAGAGAAAGCTCACAGAAAAATTAGGTTTACGATTTGGCGTAAATTCACATCATTCTTTCGTTAGTCATTAGGATCATAAATCCAGACGTGACTCAAGTTCTGTACCTTCTTAAAACACCTCATTTTCTCGCAATTAATATTTATTACACAGGTTTGGCCGCTTCTCAATCCGCATGGATTTTTTTCACGGCCAAGACTATCAAACTGCCTACTCGTGGGGAGATTTTCCAATAGAAACACCGTACCGAGAGCGGCTGTTCTTTGAAGTGTCCATCGCTACCTTAGACCAAAGTCTGGAAGTCATGGCAGCAAACTGCTGCTCCACTCCTACTGCTGACCACAACAAGGAACACAGGTTCAGACACGAGTTAATTCATGAAGGGTACGTAGTGTTTCGATCCACTAAGTTTCCAAGGATATTTCCTTTTCATTTGGTCAATGATGGGTGTGCCTTAGCATTGCAACTTTTAACTGTAACTTTCTCATTACTCTGCTTACTTCGGCGATATGAAAGTAAAAAACTAACAAACAGACAGACAAATAAATCTAGAAAGTCAGGAAAGAGGAGAAAACACGAAGCATTTTTGAAGAAGTTTTGAACACTTCCCGGTGGAAACAACCTACCTTGGGAAGTTCCAAGGAATACCAAAGCTAGAACATTTTTGAACACACGGCATTCATGGAAATCAGGTTTATAGGTAGAATATTGTTGTGAATTAACATAATATTAGGATTAGAATTATAGGTTTAATTAGGATCTTAGACATTTCATTGGAATTTATTTTACCTGATGAATTTTACCGTGTATAAATAATAATTAAAAATTAAAGATTAAAAAAAGATCCATAGCCATGTAAATTCTTAAATTAATAAATTCCAAGTTAATTTGTTTTCGCATCAGGTGTATCGTGGATGACACAGTTCAGATGGAAGCTTCTCCTTCTCCTCAAAAGAAACGTTTCAGTGTGGAAGCCTACAAGTTTGTGGGAGAATTCCCGTTCGTGTACTTGCACTGCAGTGTGGTTGTGTGCAGAGCGAGTGATCCTGATTCCAGGTGCTCCAAGGGGTGCATCCCGGGGCTACACGTTAATCCGCCCTACAGTGTCATGGAGAAACTTAAGGAGGAAGCTGCGAAAGAGCACCGAACCAAGCGAGCCCTTGATTATAAAGAGCCTAGGTATCTAATCTCCAAAGGACCCTTTTCTTTGAATGACGAAACTGCTAATGATGGGCCTGTGATCGCTCTAAAAGGACCTCAACAGGACCAATCAAAGCTGGAAGAGAAAGATCAAGACGAAACAGTGGAAAAGAGAGAAGGTCAATGACAAACGTTAAATTAAAGTATGGTCGTTTAAGGTTGTTTTGTTGGTGGCACTGCATGCTTTTGTGGTTGAGAGTGTTGCCGTTGCTAAATCTTCTGAAACTTTTGGAAGTATAAACGATGTTTGAGATCCCTCTGCCTTTTCTTTAATTTTCCTTTTTGTTTTTTGGATAGGGAAGGAGTCAGAAACTAACTAAAGAACTTCGAATCGTTAATTTCCATTCAGTGGAGAGTCTGCGTCAATTTAAAAACCATTCTATTGACATTATTTCTATGGTTTTTCGGTATCGTAAACCAAGACTTGAGAAGGAATAACATCAAAGAGGTTTACAAAGTGGTTTATTGAGCTAAAATCCTTTGAATGCGTGAAATGTTGCTTTATATTATGTCATGTGGCTAAAAGTAAAACCATTGGTAGCTATTGACCAATCAGAGCTCGTATAGCATCTATAATTTTTACCAAAAAAAAGCTCATTGTGAATTTTTATTTCCAGGGTGGAGCCCAGGCGTGACAAACGGTCTCATGGTAGTTATCGCTGCAGCCAGTGTTCTTGCTCTCGTGGGTGTTATACACGTCACGCGCGTGATGAAACGCGGCCGGGGCTACAAGGTGGTCAACCAATCATGAGCGATAAAGTACTCTTCAATCACTCTTTTTAAGGAAGGATTTCTTCGGTTTTTGTGTTTTGCTGTTAAGGGATGTGTTTTTAAAATGCTCTTGTTTTTGTAAAACAATACTAATTGTCCAAAATATATATTTTTTTATTTGTGCAAAGTGGGTGGTATTGGGTAGCAATACCTGTCTTTAAATTTGTTCAAACCCACCATAGAAAATAGAATTTCTTGCAGATCCTCTTCATAAAGGGCGCGTTCCATTCAACCACAATTTCCGTAAATCGAATGGAACAGAAAGTTTCCGGAAACTCATTTCGAAAATTTTGGTTAACCTCTCGAGATTGTCCTTTCTTTCGGAAATTTGGAAATTCCGGAAATTTCCTGTTTCATTTGGCATACATTTCTACCCGGTATAAATCGGCCCTAGTTCCTCCAGCCGTAAATATTGCCTCGACCAAAGCTACAAGATGACGACGAGTCGATATTACACTGAATGCAAAACGATCTGCCACAGTTCGAGCATTTACTGATTGCCTATCCTCCACAAAAACGTTAGGATCTGCTTTTCTGGAAAATTGTGGACTGGTCGTTCCGAATTTCCTGTGGGTATTTGCCCGGTTTGCATAACCTCCCGCGAGAAAAGTTTGCAAGTTTCTTATCACACGAAAATAATTCTTGAGTCGGTTAGGTAGATCTCTCGGAAGAGTTTACTTAAAATAATCGTGAATGCGTGTAAAATTTCTTCGCATGAAGCAGCTTACTGCACTTACGACTGCCAATTCATCATTATCCTTCGCCATTTTGTCGAGGAAATCATTGTGGCGGGAAATGTGCCCAACGGGAACAAAACGAGATCGATCTGGCCTGGTGGAAAATACCATTCCATTCGGCAAACGAAAATTTGGGCAATTCAAACCGGAATTTTTGGTCGAATGGAACGCGCCCAAAGAGTTCCTAAAAAGATAAAAATTGGCTGATTTTTGGAGAAAGGGAGTTAATAAGCTCCTGACATGCACTCTGTCTTGTTATTTGTATTTTTCTATAGTTAAAGCTTATTTATTCCTGTAGAGCGACAACCTTTTGCAAAGTACAAACTATTTTCTTGTTTCTGTGAGGAATGACAGTAACTGATTTGAAAGAAAGTTAATATCATTAGGCTGGACTAGCCCGCTCTTTAAAAGAACAAAACCAGCTCCCGCCATTGCGGTCTTTCACAATTTAATTCTCTAATTTCGAAGGCTCAGTGTATCAAAATATGTCCATACCCCTATGTTCTTTACAATTGTATTCAAGCTCTAGTTTAGGATTATAGTCATTTTTAGATGGACATCTACTTTTCCAGTCGGTTAGGAATGTAATGAACTTTGTTGCGGTTTCTGGTGATATATACCCGAGTAGACAGCTGTATTGTGTAAAACTGCATCATATAGTAACACCCTAAATAAAATTTTGTTTCTTTTTAAACCGCTGTGTGTATTAGTATATATGGACTTTTCAACAATTGATACACTTTTACCTTGCATTAATCTGGACACCAACCCGCGTCACATGCGTTCAAAGGGGGTGGAAAAAGAGAAGCGAGAACAATGCCGACAAAAAGAGTAAGTCGAGGAAAGAAATTTCAACATTAAGCTACGTGAACTTAGCGCCCTGAAACAAGCTCAAAACGATCGTCTCATTGCAACAGCACTTGCTGACATTCATTTAAATACTACGCGTAGTGGTGGATTATCACCCCTTCAAACTTTAGTAGAAACATCATGAGATGGTGAAACCGGTCATCTCAGGAAAGATCCTTTCCAAATCTGAATTCATCCAAGAAAGTGATTAAAAAGGCATGAACGAAGAAAAGGACAGTTAGTGAAGTTCTGACATTGATTTAAGTGAAATAAGTCGAATCAGCTAAGGTTTCGTTGTGCTCTTTGTCTTGCAATCCTGATTTCTGGGCCCTTGGAAAGTCTACAAATACGCACAACATTCAAGTTGTTGTTGTGCGCCCTATGCCTAAAAAACGCAGTCATATCAACGAAGGTACTGGGTCCAACGTTAACAATCAAGATTATGACGTCAGCGCCTTGCTCTCAATCCACGTGCCTATAAGTTTTATTCTTTCAATCCAGATCGCCGGCTTGGCAGAATTTAAAAGGCCCAGAGTATATCTTTTAAATGTCCGGCACCTAATCAAAGAGCGGCTTTCTATTTGCATTCGTCTTTAAGCTGTCACTTCTCTGTTGTTGCCGCAGTAAACTTTCGTATACTTTATCGCATACTTTCGCGCCATAGCTATTGTCAAGATAACTTAAGATCACGAACAACCCAAGGAATGCTGCCTTCGCGTAATGAAGTGAGCTTTAAAACAAAAATAGCCCTTAAGTTCTAAGATAGTCACTTATAAAGGCGTTGTCCGACTTTTTTACTGCAATGAAAAACTTCGCCCATCAAGCCGGCTACTATATAATGTTAAAACAAATGCTTGAAAGCTTGCCTTCGATGGAATTTTCATTATGTTCCGGATTTTAACATGTTTACATAAGCTTGACACTCCGGTCTCTTCTCTGGTATTATCTTTAAGTTTAATGTGGGAGTAATTGTTATGTTAATTCAGGTTCAATTTAATCTCTTCAAGAAATTCTTTTAAAGTCCAAAAGTTTGTTGACTTTAGTTAGGTTTTGCTGGGTGTGGGAAAGAAAATTCTTTCCCGCTCTCCAACTAGAAAAAATGATTCGTTCCTTTTTGCTTATATTTCTTGCCCTGTTGGTCGATGTGGCTGCCGAGCAACGTAAGTGTAAAATCTTTTTATTTTAGAGTGTGTAATAAGGACTGTAGATAGTATGAATTGAGATTGGGCTGAAATTTTCATGCGCGAGGGCATATTCTTCTTTACCGGAGCTCGTTATTCCAACACTGTGTAATGCATTATACTTTCAACTTCATGTATTTAAAACGACCTAACAATCTAACCACCTAACAAAGATCAGAATAATAAAATTTCAGCTTCAAACTATGTTAAATTCTTAGTCACAAGAACTAAAATGGCTCTTACTTCAAAAGGTTCCAAACGCACATTAGAACGCGTGGACGAAGCTTATTTCCAACAACGAAAAACATTCGAAATCTGTTCATTATATTTCCTTTTCCTGTGACAAAAACATGTCGTAAATGTTATTCAGATGTTCCTTTGATTTCGCCAATTTTACTGCGATCCCTGGGAATTTTGGAAGTGAATTACAACTGCAGGAAGGCATGTACATTTACTATTCAAACAGTGAACCTGAAAATTTTTCAACATTCGAAGAAAAGCGTTTAGTGTGAATGTTACCGCCATAAAATCTCCATATGACACACACGATATATATAATTCAAAACAGGTAAAATACCAAGGCCGGGTTCCGAGATTATTTGCTCAGTTACTAAGATATGAAGCCTTTTAGTAAGCAATTTAATTTTCTCTAGTTTTCTTTTATTAAATGAAGTCTACCTCAGTCTACACATAAGGTGCATGAGCAGCCAACCCTGCTAATCTTCAATTGGCTACGTTCTTTCGCATTCTAAACAATGTGTGTTGCTTCCCTACAGTTTTCCTCTTAAAAGTTTAAATCAAGTGAATGAAAGAATGTCTTTCAAGTGTCAGAGCAAGGGCCACTAAAAGTAAATAAGACAGATTCCGTGACACGCAACCAGCCCTTTCTCATGAAAACCAAATCACTTTTGCGTGCAACGATAAGTGGTGCTTATATATTAAGCTACGTTAGCTCAATGAGCTTTTTTAAAATAATTCTGCATCGGGCCATGATATTCGGCAAAAATGAGGGACTCCCATCCGGGTATTCATGTCCTCCCTGATCCCTTAAAAATTTCCCTTGCTAACTATTAATAAATTCCGTCAATCCCATCAAAGTTCGCATTAATACTAGAGATTTAAATTTCTCGTTCCCTCAAGTTAATCCAAAAGTATCCCTTAGCTTTTCCCTCGAAATAACCGACCATGGATGTTTTCTAGCTTGTTTCCCATAACCTCTTGGAGACGCTCAACAATATAACAGAGTGCAAAGATATGAGAATACAGCTCGACTAAATAAAACGATCAAAGCTTCTCCAAAATTGAACCAGTAGAAATCAAGAAGAACTGTGTAAAACAGAACGAAAGTTAAAGTTAAATGATGATTCGTAGCATTTTGAATTAGGTACAATTTACTTATCTTATTTAAGACTGATTCCCTTCCCAAATTCCTCCCTTTTTATACACATTACAATGATGTTTTAATTATTTTCAGCTTAGCTACGATCTAACTCTATGACTGCAAAATTAATCAAGTTTCAATTTGTACTATGATAATTTGGTGAGAAATGATTGTTTTGGGAACTGTTTACAAATCAGGGGGGTCAAGGTTTTACCACCTACACATAACATTCCTCTCGTAACTTACAAAGAAGCAACAAATCCTTAAGCCAGTTTGATACATTAAACTTGATCATTGATTGGAGCTGATATAATAAACCTTCGACGAGGTGGAAGAAAATGATATGTCCTACACAATCAGCGCACTTTGTTTATTATGTGTCAACGATCAGTTTGAAATTCTCAATAGTGAGTGATAAAAAGGTAATTTCTCCTGACAAAAATAAACAAATCAATACCAAAGGCAACAAGAGTGAATACAGCAGCCAACAAGAAAAAAATATCCAGTAATAAATTCTCAGAGCAAGATCGAGAAATCAGATACTGAATTTTTATAAAGAAAAAACATTGATCCAGATTTTACTATATATTGTTTCAGTTAATGCACCAGGAGAACTGAACTGTCCCGCCCTTCTCGTTGGAGCACATGTTATCACCCCACATTCCTGTACAAGCGCCCCGAGTGTTGCGGAGACAATTTGTTCCTTCAAGTGCCCCAAGGGTTACACGCTCAGTGGTCCATCTTATAAAACCTGCCAGTTAGACGGCACTTGGACCGATCAAGCTGTTCCTGTTGAATGTGATGGTAAGTTTAGGCTTCAAAAGACTTCCGCCTCCAAGCGCGTAGCGGTTCTAAATTGGAACTGAATGAATACGCAATTTTCGTTAATCAGAATATTTAAAATATTTCATTTGAATGGTCTACACACGATCAATGTTCACTAGGGTTTCATCCATAGACTTAATTAACAGATAGAACTACCTTTTGCAGCAGCATCTGAAACACAGTATTTCTGCAAGAATTGCACCATATGAAAGTGCTACTGACTAACTCATTATCATTTGCATAGTCAAACACTAGGGTTTCTTTCACAGATTGAAAAGCTAGAACCTTCTTTTGACTAAAAAATTAAACAGCGTCACCTGAAAGAACTATTCAATAGCACGCACAATGTTTAATCCGCAGACTCGAAAGTTATGACATAATAAACATTACCAAATGAAAGTATTGCTCAGTAGCTTTCATGTGAATGGCCACACACAAGAGCTTTACGACAGAACCATCTTGTACATCAGACTCGAGCAATACTACAGGGAGTAACGTTTCACAGCTACATTATTTGAATAGTCAACCACTAGGGTTTCATACTGTTTCATACTAGTCTAGATACATTTACCGACACAACAAGAACATAATATTTAACTTGAACTGGACTGAGCCATATGAAAAACCATATATGAACCATCATTGTATTCTATTTTATCAGTTACTGAAGAAAGATTTAAATACACGAGAGATCAACGCAATTACTTACACAGCATAGACATGCAGTTAAGAAAATAAATCCTGAAAAAAATTCAAGCTTGGACAGGATTCGAATCCAGGACCTCTGCTGTAGTTGCGTACACTGAACTGGGCTGATCTCTGATCCTTAAATTAAACCGAATTACTCATCCACTTGATATTTATGTTACACAGATGTGAATGAATGTGACCTTGATGATGGCTTCTGCAGTCACATCTGCGAGAACACACCAGGAAGTTTTCACTGCAAATGTCCACATCCACTGTTCTTAGATCCGGAAAATAAAAGGAAATGCAAAGGTGAGTCGCTTCTTGACAAATCTGTTACTGGCTTTCCCCTCCGAAACCTCTTCCATAAGCTTATACATCATTTCTTAGATCATTTTCTTGGTAATGAATTGCCATTGCAAGGGTTCGATAGCATTACATACACGCGTTATATAAGCACGCTTGTATCAAACAAAATAAAAGTGTCGAATCAGTACGACAATGCTAAGAACATGAAATATTAGGAACATTCAGTTTCGGCTCAGGGGCCTGTTTCTCGAAGGTCCCGAAAAGTTTTCGCATTAGAAAAGCCGTAGCAAAATCTCAAACTTATGACTTCAAGCTGTTTTATGTACATATTCTCAATATAAACAGAGGTTCTCTTCATACAAGAAATTTCAGGCGTATACACCTTTAAATACCGATTAAATAAAAATGGCTTTTCGGGCCCGAAAAGTTTCCGGGGCTTTCGAGAAACGGGCCTCAGCTTCGAATCGAAAATTAGATGTCGATGTTCTTAAGGACACTCGAACCGTGAACACTTAGCATTTTTCTGTACATTTTTTAGATCACTATAAANTGAATTTTTATAAAGAAAAAACATTGATCCAGATTTTACTATATATTGTTTCAGTTAATGCACCAGGAGAACTGAACTGTCCCGCCCTTCTCGTTGGAGCACATGTTATCACCCCACATTCCTGTACAAGCGCCCCGAGTGTTGCGGAGACAATTTGTTCCTTCAAGTGCCCCAAGGGTTACACGCTCAGTGGTCCATCTTATAAAACCTGCCAGTTAGACGGCACTTGGACCGATCAAGCTGTTCCTGTTGAATGTGATGGTAAGTTTAGGCTTCAAAAGACTTCCGCCTCCAAGCGCGTAGCGGTTCTAAATTGGAACTGAATGAATACGCAATTTTCGTTAATCAGAATATTTAAAATATTTCATTTGAATGGTCTACACACGATCAATGTTCACTAGGGTTTCATCCATAGACTTAATTAACAGATAGAACTACCTTTTGCAGCAGCATCTGAAACACAGTATTTCTGCAAGAATTGCACCATATGAAAGTGCTACTGACTAACTCATTATCATTTGCATAGTCAAACACTAGGGTTTCTTTCACAGATTGAAAAACTAGAACCTTCTTTTGACTAAAAAATTAAACAGCGTCACCTGAAAGAACTATTCAATAGCACGCACTATGTTTAATCCGCAGACTCGAAAGTTATGACATAATAAACATTACCAAATGAAAGTATTGCTCAGTAGCTTTCATGTGAATGGCCACACACAAGAGCTTTACGACAGAACCATCTTGTACATCAGACTCGAGCAATACTACAGGGAGTAACGTTTCACAGCTACATTATTTGAATAGTCAACCACTAGGGTTTCATACTGTTTCATACTAGTCTAGATACATTTACCGACACAACAAGAACATAATATTTAACTTGAACTGGACTGAGCCATATGAAAAACCATATATGAACCATCATTGTATTCTATTTTATCAGTTACTGAAGAAAGATTTAAATACACGAGAGATCAACGCAATTACTTACACAGCATAGACATGCAGTTAAGAAAATAAATCCTGAAAAAAATTCAAGCTTGGACAGGATTCGAATCCAGGACCTCTGCTGTAGTTGCGTACACTGAACTGGGCTGATCTCTGATCCTTAAATTAAACCGAATTACTCATCCACTTGATATTTATGTTACACAGATGTGAATGAATGTGACCTTGATGATGGCTTCTGCAGTCACATCTGCGAGAACACACCAGGAAGTTTTCACTGCAAATGTCCACATCCACTGTTCTTAGATCCGGAAAATAAAAGGAAATGCAAAGGTGAGTCGCTTCTTGACAAATCTGTTACTGGCTTTCCCCTCCGAAACCTCTTCCATAAGCTTATACATCATTTCTTAGATCATTTTCTTGGTAATGAATTGCCATTGCAAGGGTTCGATAGCATTACATACACGCGTTATATAAGCACGCTTGTATCAAACAAAATAAAAGTGTCGAATCAGTACGACAATGCTAAGAACATGAAATATTAGGAACATTCAGTTTCGGCTCAGGGGCCTGTTTCTCGAAGGTCCCGAAAAGTTTTCGCATTAGAAAAGCCGTAGCAAAATCTCAAACTTATGACTTCAAGCTGTTTTATGTACATATTCTCAATATAAACAGAGGTTCTCTTCATACAAGAAATTTCAGGCGTATACACCTTTAAATACCGATTAAATAAAAATGGCTTTTCGGGCCCGAAAAGTTTCCGGGGCTTTCGAGAAACGGGCCTCAGCTTCGAATCGAAAATTAGATGTCGATGTTCTTAAGGACACTCGAACCGTGAACACTTAGCATTTTTCTGTACATTTTTTAGATCACTATAAAATAAAGATTCTTCGTGTAATGAGTAATGTTAGTATTTTTGAAGAGTAAAAACATTATACCCTCTTGTTAAAAGGAAGGGCTTTGCATTCTATGGTCACTAAAAAATGTACAAAAAATAATAAGTGTTCACGGTTCGAGTGTCCTCACTGTAAAAAGAGTGTAGTCGGCTAACTGTCAGTTCCTGTATTTCTACAGCAAAAGGCGTTCAGCTTAACTGCGAACCAAATCACATGGAAATCGTCCTTCCCAAAAACCTTATTCACAATCTTGAGCATGAGCACTTAAGCCTGACAGACCCAGAATGCCGAGCGCATGGCAATTCTACTCACTACAGCTTGTCGACCGACATCACTAATTGCAGCACCACATCGCACGTGTACAAAAACTTTATCGTCTATACAAACAGGGTAATGGAGTCTCCTAACGAAAACTCAGACGTCATCACTCACGTAGGTGTAAACGAGATCCTCGTCCCGTTCAGTTGTTATTACAACGATTTGGAAATTGTTTCCGCTGTCGGTTACAAGCCGGTGGCGCAGAAAATCCACGTGAACGTCCAAGGGCGTGGCGAGTACGCATTGAGCCTCGATATCTTTAAAGACGGGACTTATGGGGAGCAAAGATCCGTGGCATCATCGTCAGCCAAGTACACCCAGGCAGACTTCCCGATCCTTAAACATCTTCGTGAGAGGATATACGTGCAGGCTTCGTTGGACACTCGCGAGACGGACCTCAAGATATTTGCGTCTAATTGCTGCTCAACACCTATGCAGGATCACGAGGCTACAATAAAATTCAGGCATGCCTTGATTGTGGAAGGGTAAGAGAGAGAATCATGTTCTTGTTTCTGGTCTCATTTTACAACGAAGTCTTGTCCTGCATCCATGACTCATCTTGACCCGAAATTTATGCACTCGACTCCTAATAAAATTTAAATAGTATCTCAAAAGAATTGTTTAATGACAAGAAGTAAGGAAGGATTAAGGTTAGTTACAGTACAAGCCTGACTCATAGACAGGCTTAATTCTCAAGAAAGCAGCAGCCATGACATAGCCCCTTCAAAAGTAAAAAAATAACTAAGCACCTCCAAAGACTGCTTCTGTATATTGAACTTGAATCTAGTCTAGCCGCAGACGTCGTCGACGGACTTGTGTCTGAAACACGGACAGGCAAAAGTTTTACCAGAAGTTGAAGTCGAAGAACAAGATTAATAATATACATGAAAAAATTACTCGATTCTGATTGGCTAACAGCAGTGCAGTTCAAGTGTAACACCAGTGCAAAAAGTGTAACACCAGTGTAAACTGTACACATCGTAATTCTGGATTATGATTGGCTGAAAGAAAATAGGCAATTTTCTAAGCCAATGATATTACGTAAAATGATGACAAAAATTTACACGGAAACTAAGAAAAAAGTTTTCTCGAATGAGAAAAAATGGCTTGCAGAAAGATCTTCCGGTACTTCCTCCACGCAAATTTTTTCATAGTCATATTCATATTGATTAATAAGTAATCATACGGTTACTCTCATTCAGTTTGGAATTAATTGGCACTTGTGAGTTTTTCAAAAAGCTGAAATTGCATTCGCCGAAGAGGCTCCTGCAATTTCAGCATTTTTGAAAAACTCACTCGTGCAAATTAATTCCAAATTGAATTCGAAACTGTATGATTACCTATACTAATAAACATCATCCACAGGAAACTGGAAAGTGCATTAAAACCGAAGCCGCATCACTCTCGAGATCCATTTGTCGAGAATAAACAAGAATATGAACAATTTTTTGTCGGGATGTTACAACAAATGCTTGGAAATCAAATTAAAACAAATATTTAGCACTTATCTAGCCGGAAAATTGGATGATGAGAAAGTCAGTGAAGAACAGTTCTAACAGATATATTTTTGTCTTTAGTTGTCCGAGGGATCCAAGTGTTAGGTTTCATGCCTCGTCTGATCCCAGGAAAGTTCGCTTCAGTTTCGNATTATACCCTCTTGTTAAAAGGAAGGGCTTTGCATTCTATGGTCACTAAAAAATGTACAAAAAATAATAAGTGTTCACGGTTCGAGTGTCCTCACTGTAAAAAGAGTGTAGTCGGCTAACTGTCAGTTCCTGTATTTCTACAGCAAAAGGCGTTCAGCTTAACTGCGAACCAAATCACATGGAAATCGTCCTTCCCAAAAACCTTATTCACAATCTTGAGCATGAGCACTTAAGCCTGACAGACCCAGAATGCCGAGCGCATGGCAATTCTACTCACTACAGCTTGTCGACCGACATCACTAATTGCAGCACCACATCGCACGTGTACAAAAACTTTATCGTCTATACAAACAGGGTAATGGAGTCTCCTAACGAAAACTCAGACGTCATCACTCACGTAGGTGTAAACGAGATCCTCGTCCCGTTCAGTTGTTATTACAACGATTTGGAAATTGTTTCCGCTGTCGGTTACAAGCCGGTGGCGCAGAAAATCCACGTGAACGTCCAAGGGCGTGGCGAGTACGCATTGAGCCTCGATATCTTTAAAGACGGGACTTATGGGGAGCAAAGATCCGTGGCATCATCGTCAGCCAAGTACACCCAGGCAGACTTCCCGATCCTTAAACATCTTCGTGAGAGGATATACGTGCAGGCTTCGTTGGACACTCGCGAGACGGACCTCAAGATATTTGCGTCTAATTGCTGCTCAACACCTATGCAGGATCACGAGGCTACAATAAAATTCAGGCATGCCTTGATTGTGGAAGGGTAAGAGAGAGAATCATGTTCTTGTTTCTGGTCTCATTTTACAACGAAGTCTTGTCCTGCATCCATGACTCATCTTGACCCGAAATTTATGCACTCGACTCCTAATAAAATTTAAATAGTATCTCAAAAGAATTGTTTAATGACAAGAAGTAAGGAAGGATTAAGGTTAGTTACAGTACAAGCCTGACTCATAGACAGGCTTAATTCTCAAGAAAGCAGCAGCCATGACATAGCCCCTTCAAAAGTAAAAAAATAACTAAGCACCTCCAAAGACTGCTTCTGTATATTGAACTTGAATCTAGTCTAGCCGCAGACGTCGTCGACGGACTTGTGTCTGAAACACGGACAGGCAAAAGTTTTACCAGAAGTTGAAGTCGAAGAACAAGATTAATAATATACATGAAAAAATTACTCGATTCTGATTGGCTGACAGCAGTGCAGTTCAAGTGTAACACCAGTGCAAAAAGTGTAACACCAGTGTAAACTGTACACATCGTAATTCTGGATTATGATTGGCTGAAAGAAAATAGGCAATTTTCTAAGCCAATGATATTACGTAAAATGATGACAAAAATTTACACGGAAACTAAGAAAAAAGTTTTCTCGAATGAGAAAAAATGGCTTGCAGAAAGATCTTCCGGTACTTCCTCCACGCAAATTTTTTCATAGTCATATTCATATTGATTAATAAGTAATCATACGGTTACTCTCATTCAGTTTGGAATTAATTGGCACTTGTGAGTTTTTCAAAAAGCTGAAATTGCATTCGCCGAAGAGGCTCCTGCAATTTCAGCATTTTTGAAAAACTCACTCGTGCAAATTAATTCCAAATTGAATTCGAAACTGTATGATTACCTATACTAATAAACATCATCCACAGGAAACTGGAAAGTGCATTAAAACCGAAGCCGCATCACTCTCGAGATCCATTTGTCGAGAATAAACAAGAATATGAACAATTTTTTGTCGGGATGTTACAACAAATGCTTGGAAATCAAATTAAAACAAATATTTAGCACTTATCTAGCCGGAAAATTGGATGATGAGAAAGTCAGTGAAGAACAGTTCTAACAGATATATTTTTGTCTTTAGTTGTCCGAGGGATCCAAGTGTTAGGTTTCATGCCTCGTCTGATCCCAGGAAAGTTCGCTTCAGTTTCGAATTATTCAAGTTTCTTGGAAACCATGATTATGTCTTTATTCACTGCCGAGTCCATGTATGTGACGTAAATGATACCAATTCGCGATGCGCAAAGGGATGCCTGCCCGGCAACAGTCCGGCAAAGAGAGATCAAGACAAGCATGGTAACAGAGCTCAACAATCGAACAAGCGCGCTAAAACCGTAACACAACCGATCGAGAGGCACATCAAGAAAGTCGTGGCTCCAGCTAGCGAGAAGGCGACAAAGCTTCATGCTGCTGCCAAGAAAATCGCTGGGAAAACTGCATCGCAACCAAATGCGAAACGTGCTAAAGCGCCTCTTGCAAGCGAGAAAAAGGCTCAAGATCACCCTAAAGCGCCAGAGATAAAGGCTGTCAAGACTGCAGTGCATCGCATCATGAAACGCGCAGTAGAGGGCTCTCGCAAGAGAGGAGTTCTAGGCTCAGCTGACCTTAGCAGCAAGGGACCGATCATCCTTGACATTGATGGGAGAAAGGATGTCAAAAGAGATCCCAGGCCAAAAAAGGTGTTCGCTCAATCTAAAGGGAGTGCTATCGAACGAGATGTCAATGACAAGAACAAACGTAAGTTGTTATTACCTTTTTATTGCTTCACCTTGAGTCAAATACCTGAAATAATCTAACCTGCATAAGCATAGGAAGAAGATGTGGGAAGAGTCACAAGAGCAGAGCTCTGAGCCGTCTTGTTGAGCAGTTCATGTTTCTTAAGAGTGTCGTGTATAGCTCCAACTAATTCGATTATTACTACTCTGACAAATTAGGTTTGTGAACTAAACAAAAACTGGTGTAAAAAACACCCTGCTTTCCTACGACAAATGTACGAGTCAATTAGAGACTCTGGAATTCTTATGCGAAAACTGAGCCGCGAAGAGGTGTTTTTCCTAGAGGGTACTGAAATGGAGTGGGGCATGCAGGCGGAGATAAGTCCCATTTCCCAGCCACAGTTCCCAGTGAAAATATACGCAAATCCCAGTTTCCATAGACAGTCCCCTGCCCCCCACCCCTACTCTTCCCCAGTTTAGTTAACGGTTAAGCTGAAATAAAAGCGTGTTTCCCGAAGGTTGTGTTCCCAACTTAATGCTAATTTTCTCTCTTACGCGTTTGTTTTTCTCCGTTATAGGTTCAAGCGTTGCCCCTAGTGCAACCAACATATTTTTAGTGGCGATGACTGTGGCTTCCATCATGGCGCTTGTAGGAGTCGTGTACCTCGGTCGGAAAGCGATGAAAGTGGTCAACAATCCATACAATTATGAACCTTTATTAGTCAATTAGTAACGCTTATTTCGGATTCGCTTTACAATATACTTGTTGAAAAACGCAATCAGTTTTTAACCCTTTTTTTTTTTAAATGTAATACGTTGCCAAAGTAGAATTTAGCATGAACAATCTTTTACCTTGTGTATACAGGTTTCATGAGGGATTGCACCCGACCCAGTCCATGCTAATTCACAACGTTCAAACTTAGAGCGGCTTTATCCTCAGTTTTTCCAGTGGTATCACAAATCCAAGTAGTGTGTTCAAGCCATTATTAAAAAGGATAGACTTCAGCCTTTTTAGTCTATTGTTTTCATCTTGGTTGCTTGGAGGCACGAGTATAGCAGACTGGCGTTGGATGGGGACATTAAGCAACACCAACTTTTCTCGTGTCTCAACAATAGGGAGGTTAAGCGGACTACGACGACGACGGCAACGAGAACGTCCCCAAACAAAAGGTTTAATGAGCAAAACAATAGCTGTGCATGAGCGTTATAAATCTTTGTATATTGCTTTGACGTCCTGTGTTCTTCTCTGCTCCCTAGTTTTACAGAGAGGCGACCTCTTCGCTCTTATTGGTGTATTGAGTTGTCGCTTCATTTTCACTTGACAAATTATGACGCACTTAAGCCACTGGAAAAACTACTCTATTTCAATGTTTTATAACGACAACGTTGAATGTAACCATGTTTAATAGCTAGTGTTTTCAAATAATGTTCAGGTTGACAGTTGTATATCTCTTTCATTGAAAATAAACTGGCATTTATAACCACAGCTCACTGATCGGTTTACTTTCTGCAGCACGCGTGGGGATACTATAGGTAATGCAGGGAAACGGTCTAACGTCCCATGGTCAGACCGTTCTACAATATAGTCAGATCGTTCCACCTGTAAATAGTTTGATAAAAAAAAATCCTTAAAATTGATAATATAGATCCCACACGAGAGTAATTCAAGTGTAAGTTCTTAGTATTGACCACATAATCATTCGATGTAACGGCATCAAATTTGTGTGACAACAACTAAACATCACGCAACACGTTTCTTTTTCCATTATCATCGAGCGCGAACATTTTCTTGACTTTTTCTGCGAGGAACAATCCGACCATAATCCACTCCGTAAACGTCTTCTCGACTTCACAAATAATTTTTTTGAGGCCATTCGTTAAGCTTCAGCGTTAATCATTCAACTCGTCGACAATAATCCTTCTTCGTAACAGAAGCAGGCTTCTTTCATGGTTTAGTCAAAGAAACGAATGTCAAAACTATAATAACATGAATGAGAGACCTTTCCAGATTGGGTGGTTTGTTTTCCCGTTACAGACAACGTCATATTCTCTTGAGAATTGTTATTTTGTTCATCTAAAAATTATTCTTACTATGAAGTTTCTTTGATAAAAATTTGGTAATAAAACAAACGACTTTTCGACCTCTCCTGTAGGTCATTTTCAAGTTCAAGTAAAATATAAAATAGCATACAAATATAAAAATAAATGGGAATGTAAAAACCTATATAATAATTACCAAATTTACATAATTACGTAATTGCATAATTACCGTATTTACTCGATTAAACGCTGCCCTCGAATAAAACGCCGCATTTTAGAGCAGAAATGTTAATAAGCGCCGCATCACGGGCAACAAACCGCCCAGGCTAAAAAGGTCTATTGAGTCAGCAGCTTTCGGCAGGGATGTTACTAGGCAAAATTGGGAGCTACTCGGAAACTTAACGAGAATAAGCTGATACGACTCTGTATCTAGCGACTGAGTTGAGTCTGAAGTTCTCTTTCGTTGTTTACTTCAGATTTTTTCAACTGCCTTTCTATCTCAAAGCGATGGAACTCCACAAGAGCTCATCATGTCAATCAAGTTTCATGACAGGTAAGGAGCGCCTCTTTTTGCCAAGTTTCACTTTTCCAGCCGAATTATTCTTCCTCTTCTCGGATAAAACAAGACGTTTCCTCGCTGGTCTCTGCAAAAGAGTTTCAAAAAGTAACTTAAATCTCATTTCTTAGCAATCGAGAAACGTACTAATTGGCTAGCCTTGTTTCTTCCTAATATTCTCCAATCGGTTCGCACACACACATTTCTCGTTTTTAAATAGTTAAAAATTCAGGGCGCGCGGTCACCAGGACCCGCAAACGTTCCGTGTGGCGTGATATTTGTTTTTTGCGTGACATCCATCCATCACAACAGTAGTACACAATGTACTTTTCAAACGGACTCACAGCTCGACCTTAGATCGGGGTTAACACCCTTGCGTAACAATGGACCAATCAGAGCTCGACATCAGGTCGAGGTTTTGGGCTCTAGTTGAGCGTATGACTACTCCCATACTCAACATTGGATATTTGTACAGACATAATTTATCTCACTTTACACAGACATAATTTATCTCACTGTACACAGACATAATTTACCTCACTGTACACAGACATGATTTACCTCACTGTACACAGACATAATTTACCACACTGTACACAGACATAATTTACCACACTATACACAGACATAATTTATCTCACTGTACACAGACATCATTTATCTCACTATGCATAGACATCATTTATCTCACTGTACACATACATAATTTACCTCACTGTGTACAGACATTATTTACCACACTATACACAGACATAATTTACCTCACTGTACACAGACATAATTTTCCACACTATACACGGACATGATTTATCTCACTGTACACAGACATCATTTACCTCACTTTATTCAGACGATGAGCTCACACTCAAAACATCAATGTCACAAATGTGCTATGGCGGTTAATTTACCAATTTAAAAGTATATCATGAAATGATGTTTCATTTGCCGGTTTCACAGCCCAACAATTTCCCATTCATGATCTACCTCTGATCTGTCCATGAAGACACCACTTTCTTCAAGTTCCTCATTGTTGCTTGTGTGATGTGCATTAGCAAGACATCCCTGGGCCATTCCCTTTGTTTTCTTCTTCCTACTGCTCAGTTTGACCTCCGTCAGAGTGTCATATACTTGCTGGGTGGTGTTTGCTTGCGCCATCAAGTTTGTATTTTTAGTTTTCGTTTGTTCTACTTTTGATGTAGAACTTTGAACTGAATTAGGAACTAGGGCTTGAAGTAGATATTCCACAACCTCATCCACAGACTCTAATCTCACTGATTTGCCATTTGGCCCGAGAATAGTCAAATCAGGCATGTTTCTAAACAGTTTGAAAGAAAACAAAACAGGCAAGTTTCATGTGCATGTTTGTATACAAATATTACAAGCTAAATGTTAGCGTGGATACAGTATTCTCTGTGTTATACAATACACTAATTGCAGGCCCCAAGGGAAATAGTTAGCTTTGTTTTCCCGAGAATCTTGATGTTTCCTGAGAGGAGATTGAGGGAAAGATCAAGACTCGAGGGGTTAAGTGTAAAGTAATGCATTAGGAGGTCAAAGTAATCCTCTGGTTTATAGTGGGAGAGCAGGAAACAATTGCACAATAGGCCATTTTCAACGAAGTCGACTCCCGATAACTTGAACCCTCGCTAACTCGAACCTCATGCTAACTTGAACCAAAATCAATTTCCTCTGGATTTCCGTCTTACATTTACTGTAATTTTACCCTCACTAACTTGAACCCTCAATAACTCAAACCTAACGCTAACTCGAAGCAATTTTCATTTCCCTTCCGTTCATTTTCTGTCTAATTTTAACCCTCCATAACCCGAACCATGTCTGTCAAGACGTGACAAGTCAAAACAAACAGTGTACTGTAGTCTAAAACATTATTTTGAAGCAGCCATGTGAAAAAACCTGTACAGTTCACAGTTCCTGGACTTCTCCCTGCTGCTTTCCTTTGTTACAGTATTTTTCACATTACACTATGTTCTGATTTATACCATAATTTAGAGATGTATTGTTTTATTTTCACTCGACTTCTCTATTCTGTAATTACATTTGATTAAAATGTACACTGCCTAAATAGAAAAACAATAAAGACCATTTTCCCTTTTTCCAGTCATTTGTGCTCTGAACTCCAGATAACTCGAACTCCTGATAACTCGAACCTTTCTCAATTTCCCTTGAAGGTTCAAGTTATCAGGAGTCAACTGTATATTAAAATATTCTATCTTGGCTCCAAGGCCTGGGAAGTAATACAACAGAAATTGCATCAAGGTTGAGGGATGAATAATCAATTTCCCTTGTTTTGCTCCCCAAGCCTTGAGGCAAAGTTAGAATTATAATACTATGTCAAAAATGGCCCATTGCTGCCTGCTGGGGCAACATGTAAATTTAACCACTGTCACGCGACCATAAATCAACCAATACGAGCACACATTAGATTCAACTAAACTACAGCTAAATAGCAGTACAAAATATTACATATGTGAAAACTAAACAAACCTGGGCCCTTAATTAGGTAAAAGTTCATGCAAAACAAATGTGAATGTGATGTTGACGATATACCTGTAGACTTGAGTTCTTTGAACTTATCTTTCTCAACTTCATGATAACATCAAATAGTTGTCAGAAGTGACTAGATTTAGTATAAGTGTACAACTGGCAACAGGTGATCAAGCAACTGGCACAACTACTTGTTTTGAATCAACTGCCAGTCCTATTATTCTAAGCAGTAATTTTGCAAGCAGTACAGTGAAAGATTCTGCAGGAACACTTACTTTGTTAGCACGTGAAGTGAATGAGTCATAGACACAGCTTGCTGAAGTAACCTGAAATCATCTTCCCCTGACTGTGATGAGTATCCATTTATTTGACAGAAGTGAGAAGCTAGAGAATAAAGCTAAGAAAACAAAGGAAAAGAAAGGGACATTGAAACAAGCAGCAAGAGGTAGATTAATCAGTGAGCTAGGATTAGTTAAACATCATCTGCTTGCCGGTTTCTTCGGCACTGGGGGGAGGGACTAAGGGTGTAGTGATAGAGGCCACACACCCAGGACTAGAAAAAACTTGAATTCCAGCTTGCCCTCAGGACAAGTAGCCCTTAAGGTTACAAAATACCTTCATTAGTGCCCTTCAGAAAAAAATCATACCTACGTTGTTTTTAGGGAAACTACCACAAACTATTATAATTATAAACAATAGATTATGAGCTTGAGATTTCTATCGCATGATAGTAGACAAGGGTGTGGCCCGAGTCAACTATCACACGATAGAAATCAAGAGCAAATAATCTAATAATTATTGTTTTAGTATAGAAATCTACTAATCATTCAAAACTTAATCTAAAGCCTCTTCAGAGACACTTCGAAAAAGCGAAGAAGCGGCCTTCATTTTGTTAACAAGGGCACACTGTTACGCTATTCACTATTCATCACAGAATAGATAGTGAGTAGCATAGCCAATCAGAGAATGGCATTTGTGATAGAATGCTAGTAGAGTCACACTAAATATCGATAGAAAGGTTATGAACTGTAGAATTTGGAAAAAAATATCCATTGTTTTGCCCATGCCTTTGTTGAGAAGAAAGAAGCCGAGAAATGGAAAACGACCGACTGTCATTCCACCGAATTAATCAGGTATCAAATGCAAGAAGGGATGTTTAAGTACTCCACAGTGTTAATAAACAAGCATCAATCTCTCAAAGGGTGTCGGGGTTTTCTAGTATTCTTATTGGTTATCTTTTTATAGACCAGTAACGTTATAGCATAGAATAATTTGCCAACCATCTTGTGTTTGCAGCCGTCACAAGATAAATATCCATGATATAAAAAATGCCTGACACCCTTTTGTTCCTCGATACTTAGGGAATGTCCTGGCCAAATTTCATGAAAATCTGCCGATTCTACATACCTTATTAATTCATTTAAAGAGATAATATTCTCACAAAAAACTATTGTGAGTTATCACCATTTGAAAAGTTGTAAACATGTCATGCCTTTACTTGGATTTATGTCAACAGCATATGCTGTCAGCCAATGAGTATGCACAATTCCTTGCTGCTGTCGGTCAAAGTTTTCTTCTTGTCCTCGAAAAATTCTGCTTTTGTCTTCTTCTTAGGACCTGGCTTTTATTTTTTTGCTGCCCAAGGACTTTTCTCTTCCTTTTTTAGCATGTATCATGACCTCAATGAGGAGTGATAGGTGGCATGGAGTAGCGATTTAATTTGAGAACACAACTGTGACTGCATATAAACAAGAAAATGCTAATGAGACTGATGTAATAAGAGCTACAGGAAGCAGTCGTTTTACGCAAAAATTGATGCACTACTGTATGAGGACTAAGACACCTAACTGTTTCATTAACTTTTATTAAAAAAACCTTTTTTTCTAACTAACTCAGTGTGTTTTTAGATTTTACTTTCATTTTTCGGAAATGTTAGATTTGATAGCGACCTTTCTGTTTTGCTTAAAAAGAAAAATGCAACAAAAGTGGCACTCTCAAGGTATTGTGTAACCTTAAATTTTGCATGCCCTGAGCAACTCTTAGTTTGCAGGGGTTTCAGTAAGGGCCGCATGCAATTGACCAGCTGTGAGGACAATTTTGCCCAGCTGGTTTGAACATCGATCTAGTCCTAGAGGAAAGTTCTTCTTACAATGAAGTTCAGTTCTAATATTTTTGCCCACCTGTGAAAACCAGTTGCCTCCTGCTGAAAACATTAATGAAAACCCTGAGTTTGCTCTTTTAACGATTTAGTTGGTAGACAAGTTGCCTGATCCCTTGGCAACAGGCAAGTGAGAATTAAAAATTACTAGCCCAGAAGGAAAATCTACTGTTCCAGAGAACCGCATCGCACTTCTTTTTTAAGCCTTTGACACTTCTTCGAGACATACAAGTTATTTCATTGTGTGCTGTTCAAACACCTCTATTGTTTTAAAGACTATGTTCATTGTTTCTGTAGTTTGTTCTAGAGTTGAACCTCCGCTAATGGCCACCTCTCTACAACACTAACAGCTACCTCTCTACAAAGGCCACCTTTCTTAGTCCCGGTGGATGGTCTATATTACGTGTATTACATGTAGTCAAATCATTCTTATTTTAAAATCTCTACAATGGCCACTTCTCCACAAACGCAAAGGCTACTAAAGCATGCCACAATTTATATCTATTTATTTATTTTTTATTCAAACATTTGTCAATATTACCTATTGAAAATGGTCACTTAATCAATGACTGTTGAATGCTGTATACAAAACACAATTTTTTTTGTACATAATAGGTCAAAACTTGATCCACACCACACATCGTTGGTCTGTTTCTGTATTCTTTCTGTTTTATTGATTTTCCTTTGATTTTGCCACATATTTAGATGTTACATTAAGCATTTTTTTGTTGAAAAAATGTTGCAGCCCTGAAAAAACAAGTGTCATATTAGACCCTTACAACCTCCTTTCTCCTGCATCCCCATGGTGGCCATTGTGGAGTGGTTCAACTGTATTTTTTTTGTTGCAAAGGATTTTAATTGAATGACTGAAATGTTTAATGAACATACTACTGGATTTTTCAGCACAATACCTTAGTGTTGTCTGTTGATTTATCTAACATCAAAAAGAAGTTGAGCAATCTTGACAGATTCAACAGCAACTGACATTCATGACAAGAAAACTGCAAAATTAGAGGATGTAAGTTTTTAGATTGAGTAGGAACATGACAGCAGTAGCTAAACTTCAATATTAATAACACTAATGACAACAACAACTACAACCACAACTACTGTACCAACCGCAACTAACATCCAT